GACTGTCTGCTTTCCATCTAGCACAGCCACTTTAATAGCTGTGTTATCTGGGCAGTGTACTTGGACTTTCTTTGCCATTTTCCCATCTGTAAAGAGGCGTAATAACAGTACTGCTGCATAATGAGCTTGAAAAAATTAAACGCTTCCAGTTTTTGAAACTTCCCGTTCCACTATTCACTCCACGGACTATTTCCTTTTCCTGTAGCCACAGCTGCTTCTAGCAGCCACTGCAGAGCTATCCCCCAGAGAAGCCGCTACGGCTCCCAAGCCTCGTTAACCTCTTGTGGTTGCAGAAGTCATCCCCATGGTCACTTTTTCACCATCCACATGCGAGCGTGCACCAGGCAGACATGGCCTCCAGCTGCCTACCACGCGCAGTTTCTCAGCCCTTGTTCCTCACAGGTCCTCGGCCGTTGGCTGGATTTGTAATTGTCATGGTGTTGTTACATTATGTACTCGTCAGGAGATATTTCAATAAATTTTCATAATGTGGCCACACTGCACATTATTCAAACTAGAATAGCTGTCTCTGGGCTTTCTCATAGGCTGATAGTCCAGTGAGTTCTTTATGACTTTGAGGCAAATTAAAATACGTGAGCTTCAGTATTCTGTACGTGTGCTTTTGGGCCTGTGGCCTTCTGGGACACTGAAGGACCATCGCTTAGGAAAGTACCCCCTGAACTTTAGTCATCCAAGTACCATGTAGGCACGTGGGATGAGTTTCTTTGTCCACTGAGGGGAAATGTGGGCTCCTGAGTCAGGCTGCCTGGTTGGAATCCAGCTCTGCCATCTAACAGCTCTGGAATCTGGACTGTGTCCTTGAACGTTCTGTGCCTGAATCTTCCCATCTATGAGATGGGGATGATATTACTACCATATAACAAGCTTGAGAGAATCAGTCCCACAGGAAACATGAGAAGAGTGCCTGGCGAGCATAGATCCAGTTGTGGGAAGGGTGGTCTGCAGTGCAGTCTGCCTCTGGAGATGGGCTGGGTAGGCAATGGGAGCTCGCCCATTATCTTGTGCCTAAACCTCCTGGGAGCACCCTGCTTCTCTGCTTCAGTTCCTTCCAGTCAGATGGCTGCTGCTCATTAGATTCCATAATGTGCAGCATCCTCCACTCCCTGGGTCCTGCCTCTCTCATCTCATAAATAGCATTCTGGTTTTACCAGTTTGCTGCTCCTTGAACACAACAGACTGTTTCATCGCCCTCTGCCTCCTCTCTGGTCCCGCACTCAGGCCCAGCCAGGTAGAGCCAGCAAGGCCCTGCACTGCCACTGTCATGTGCGATGGAAGGTGGGCTGTCCCTTTGTGATGTCATCTGGGGCGTCTTGAAGTTGAGGACTCTTCTTAGCTGCCCTGAGTCTCCTTAGCCTCTGACCAACACCTAGGACCCTGCCATCACCCACCGTGGGGCCAGCTCAGACCGGCCCATTCGCAGAGGGCTCTCCCCAGGTCAGGACCTGACACCTGCGGTCGGAGGGGCAGAGTGACCCGCTTCTCAGGCTCTACAACTCGATCAGACAGGCTAGAGCAGAGAGAGTGCAACACAGAGTAGCCTGGCTTCAAGGTTGCACACGGAGCCCCATGTGAACACAGAAAGCATATCCTGTGTCACAGAGCCAGGCCCAAGGAGATCAGAGGCCAGTGGTGCACACTGTGTTTTATGGTCATGATTTAGCAACATTAATGAAGCAAGAGTACAACCTGACCACCACCCCCATCTCAAAACCTGTATATTTGGAAAATCCTGATAGAAATCATGAAATATTTAGAATCAAATCACAGTAAGAACTACATGTCTACACTTGTGAAATGTCGCTGAAGTGATGCTTAAATGAAAATTCAAAACATGAATTCATATGTTAGAAAGGAAGAGTTAAAGTTAATGATCTATGTGGCCATGTCAAGAAATTAGAAAATGACACTAAAGCCAAATAGATCAGAAAGATGGAAATAATATAGATGAGCGATAGAAAGGCTGGCATTTGGGTTAGGTTATGTCGTTATAAAGAAAAAATCTGACAAAAACATAGCCAGACATGAATACCTATTTAGCATCTATATATTCTGAATGTTTCTCTTTGCTTGCATTATAGTTCTCAAAATTGACTTGTAAAAACTACAGGCCAGCAAAGCAAACATTAATTTTGACCTTTTTTAATTGAGTGCCTACAATTTGAAATGTATGTTTTAGTGGCTTTCCCATTGGGCTCTCAGATGAAAAGACAGGAGACTTTCTGATCCTGTTTTGAAGCTCTGGGCCATCACACAGGACTCCCATACCTCCGTGCAGCTGTGCAAGAGGGGGCTCTTTAACAAGTCCCCCAGGTCTCCAGCATGGATTGGTGTTCAGATAAACCATCCCAAATGTACCCCCAAATTCAGTGGGAACCTGCCTGGCTGTTTCTGCAAAAGGCAGTCACAAGCAAGTAGAAATTTGATTTTTGTTCAGCTAGGTGAGAGAGAGCAGTTATTAGATACCATTAGTGATGTGACTTGGAAATAAAAATGTTCCTCTGATAACTTTTTCCAGCTTCTGAATTACTTTAATTAGAGACTCTCTGAGCTTGCAGGGCAGGTGTTGGGTGGTTACAACGAAGACTTCTTATCAGTGCCTATCAGGACTCCTGTTCCTGTGTCACTGAAATAAAATAGAGTGGTGACTGAACAAAGCACTGGGCTGACAAAGGCTAGGACTTTGATTTCCAGTATTTGCTTCTCCCAGTCCGGGTCACCGCCGTTTTACAATGCAATCCTCAGGGAGCACAGCAGCACCCACCCTGCGCATGCCTTCTGGCTGCTTGCACTCCAGGCAGAGCTGAGGAGTTATGGCAGAGACCTTATGGTTCTAAAAAGACTAATATGGACTATTTGGGCTTTTACAAGAAAAGTGAGCTGACCCTGCTCCAAACAGGACCATTGTTCTCTTTGACTTGTTAATCTATATATTCTATCTAATATAGAGGGAATATGCTAATTAACCCTCACACCGTCGCAAAGATGGCAGCACCCACAGCCAATAAGGAGGGAATATGCTAATTGACTGCCCCGCCCTCAAAGATGGCAGCGCCCACAGTCAATAAGGAAGGAATATGCTAATTGACCCTCACACTGTCACAAAGATGGCGGCACCCACATCCAATAAGGAGGGAATATGCTAATTGACTGCCCCACCCTCAAAGGTGGTGGCACCCACAGCCAATAAGGAGGGAATATGCTAATTGACTGTCCCGCCCTCAAAGATGGTGGCACCCACAGCCAATAAGGAGGGACTATGCTAATTGACTGCCACGCCCTCAAAGATGGCGGTGCCCAGTCCCCTCAGCCCCACCGGGGCGGCAGGCACAGGGCAAGGCTGGGCCTGCCCCCAGGGGCCCAGCCTTGCCTCACACCTGCCTCTAAGTCCCCCAATCCCCTCAGCCCCCCAGCCACCCAGGGCCGGCCTGAGGTGCAGGCAAGCCTCGGATGGTGGCTGCCTAGCTGCCCAGGGCCGCCCGAGGCTCAGGTAACCAGGGCCGGCCGAGGCTTGCACTGCCGGCAGTGGCAGCAGCAAAGGTGTGATGGGGCATTGCCTTCCCCTGATCGCCAGGTTGCCTCCCGCCCCTGAGGGCTCCCAGACTGTGAGAGGGGGCAGGCCGGGCTGAGGGAACCCCCCCTCCAGTGCATGAATTTTCATGCACCGGGCCTCTAGTATACTAATAAAACCCTAAACAACTTGTCAACTGTTCGACTGGTCTACTGTTTGACTGGTTGCTATGACACGCAATGACCACCAGGGGGCAGACACTCAATGCAGGAGCTGCCCCCTGGTGGTCAGTGTGCTCCCACAGCTGGAGCGCTGCTCAGCTGCCCGACAACGGGTGCCAGATGCCAGGCTCACAACTGGTGAACAAAGCTGTGGCGGCTCGAGCCTCTCCTACCTCTGTGGCAGCACTACCAAGTGGCGGAGGTGGCGGGTGCAGCAGGGCCGGGATAAGTGGGAGCAGCACAGTGCCCAACCCTGCTCAGGCTCTTCCCTAGCGCACTACTACATCCCCCAAGGGGTCCTGGATTGTGAGAGGGCACAGGCCAGGCTGAGGTACCCAACTGGTGCACGAATCCATGCACCGGTCCTCTAGTGTTGTCATAAATGTAAACTTACAAAATGCATGGATAATAAAACACTAGTTTTTCTTCTATTGGTGCTTTACACAAGATTTTATCCTAAAAGCAAGCAAAGGAATCTGTTGCTACCAGAACTTGGAAACTGCTGTGTTATGGCATCGTATCAGGGAGGTGTTACTGCAGTTTGCAAAATGAAGTTAATTCTATAGGGAAGGCCTGGGAAAATCAGTCTTCAGATCTTCAAGAACTGAAAATAACTGTCAGGTTGCTAGTATTGGAGGCATTTTTTGAACTTAAAATTATCCTATTAACATTTGTTTCTCTGTGACAAAATATAACAAATGTAGCCCTTCAATGATTGCTTAGACATGGTTTAGAAATACCTAGGTTTATTTTTTTAATGTTTTTATTGATTTCAGAGAGAGGGAGAGAGAGAGAAACACCAGTGATGAGAGATAATCATTGATTGGCTGCTTCCTGCACACTCCCTATTGGAGATCGAGCCCACAGCCCTGGCATGTTCCTTGATCGGGAATCAAACCATGACCTCCTGGTTCATGGGTCAATGCTCAACCACATGGGCTGTGCAATACATGGTTATTTTTTAAAGTATATGTACACTGACAAAGTTGGTAGGATGTTGTTCCTTTCTGCCAAATTTTAAAAATCACAATTATTATACTTTCTATAAAAAAGTTAGCAACACTCCAGCACCCACAGTCTTATTGCCCCTAATTGGGCTAATGGGAGTCCTGAGCATTCATGGGATCCCACAGCATGAGGGCGGAAACTGAGTGGGACACCTCCTCGAAGTTCACCTGCCTGGGCCATCAGCCCAACTCAGTGCCCTCCAGAACCAGACGGTACTCACCGATCCCTCTGTGTCTTTGAAGGGTATTCCCCGAGTCCCTCCGGTGGCTGATGGCTACCCAGCAGTTTGAGTCTGCGAAGAAGCTGATCCTGCACTTCACCCAGAAGAACTCCATGAACACCGAGACTGACATCAAAGGCGTGATGCCCGGTGAGTACAGGCCCTGGGAGAGGCGCCCCTGTCCTGGACCGAGTGTCAGAGCAGTTCCCCGATGCTGGGCATGGCTGGTTTTCCAGGAAGCTGTCCTAGCTAGCGGCTTCATGTCCTGTGATGGTTGCTTAATGTCTGCAGATGGTCTAGGAACATGGGCGGATTGAAATTCTCTCCACCCTCTAGGAGTTGGGTCTTTCCTGGCCAGATCTGACACACTGCGGGGCCCCACATCGCCTGCCCAAACCCCAACGTGCAGTGTGAGCCTAATGTGCACCTGGTCGCCAAGGGAACATGCGCGGGGGGCAGGTAAAAATGCCCGAGCCTGGCACAGCCCTGCCTGCCTGCCTGCCAGGTCCAAAGGCCCTCAGAGCACTGGCTGGGAGCGGCTGGCTTCACTACCTTTCTTTTCCCAAGTGCGACCTTGGGAAGCCGCCACCGTCTATACCTGTCATGACCGATTTGTGGGGGCTGAGGAAGTAGGAGCGTGAAGCATTTCTGCAGATGGGTTCAGGCCCGCTGGCAACATCCTCCCAGGGCAGATCCAGCTCTCAAGCTGCGGCTCCACAATATCACCAGGAGGCTGTTAAAATCCAGGCTCCAGGGCCTTCCCTGGCACCAGAGGTTCTGATCCAGTCAATTTGGAATAAGCCCTAAGAACCTGCGCTTTTAGTAAACACTAGGAGAGATTCTGGCGCCCACGGTGCACAGACGCCCTTTTGAAAGCCCCTGGTAGACCCAACCCAAGCCCCGACCCACTCCCCCAACCTGAAGACCCGTATCGATGGCACTGTTGTTATACATTTCCCAGGCAAATAATATGCAGGCCTTTGTCCCAGAGAGATAAGCACATTTCCCACCATGACCTAAACTTGGATGCCGCAGACGTTCACTAAGCGCCGCCATGGGCAGGCACTGCTCCGGAGCAGAGAAAGCAAGAGGCAGAGCCTTGCTCTCGTGGAGCCTGCAGGCCGGTGTGCAGGCCCACAATGCACACGGAGATGTGTAATGCGCCCGGGGGATGCGTGCTGTAGGGAAAATCTCAGAGTAGAGGGCTAGAGGGCGGTGGTGAGGACCCACTCCGAGGGCTGGGGAGCCTGGCTCCAAGTACAGGTGAGCAGACACCTGCGTGAAGTTGGAGAATGTGCCAGTCCCGATGGGAAAGGAGCATGAGCCGAGAAACTCAGAGCCCACTGTCCGGGAAAGACTTCTGTACGCGCCTCTTCCGTGGTCCGAGACAGGCTGCTCACAGCCTCCTGACTCAGGGGATCTGGGGTTCAGTGTCCCAGATGCTGCTGCTCGGCCAGGTGAGCCCCTGCCTTGGCCTGTGCCCAGGACCTGGGAGGTGGGGACGGCAAGGCTAGGCCACCTCCACGTCAGCACAGGCAAGAGTTCAGGAGGCCCAGAGCCCATGCTTTACTGGAACAAAGGAGGACATGAGCCAGGTCTGCTTTCCGAGAAGAGCGCTGAGTGCTGGTGCTCTGCAGAGGGCGGCTGTGGCCCTTGTCCCGTGGCAATGACCAGACACTTTTCTAAATGACTTGCAAATGTTAACTTACATCTAATATTTATCCCTAAATGCTTGATGTGTATTAACTTATATTTCTTCCCAACTTGAGTCCTCTGAAGGGGTTACTATAATCATCTGTGTTTTCAGGAGGGGAAACTGAGGCACAGGGAGGGTTAAGTATCTTGCCAGAGGTCACATACTGAGTAAGTAGTTGAGCGGGGACTTGAACCCAAGAAGTCCAGCAGAAGCGGCTTCACTGGCTGTTTTTGAGAGAGGGGGCTGGGCTCTGAGACAAATGTGCCTGTTTGGAGAGGAATTCGTACTGAATTCACTTTCCTCCTTTTGGGCATGTTTGCTGATTTTGGAGTGTCCAGCTATCTTCCCAAAACTTATCCAGGCCCCATTCATTATGAAGATAATGCTCTTAAGTCTTTCCTTGCAATCTGTTTCGGGAATTTCCCTAATTAAATCACATGTTCTACTTTCAGGTTGAAATACTGTCTGGGAAAAGCTTGTTTTCTCAATCCAAATTACACTCATCCATTTCCCTCCTATTTCTGGAGGGAAATGAATTTTCCCCTTTCTTTGCCTCTGAGTTTTGCTGGTGTGATTTTTTATGCTGGTGCCCCTGCAGGAGGCTGGGGGGTGGTAGCTGGCACAGGTGGCCTTCCCTCCCCTCAGGAGGATAATCACACATCCTCTCCTGGGGGGCACTGCGTTCACACCTGCCTCCTGATCTTGTTCACACCCAGCTCTCGAACACACTGATCATAGCATCGCGGCAGAAGCCGCCCAGTGCTTGCGGGAAGATAGGTGTCTGTTTCATCTAATTTGGTCACTTCCAACTTTCTGAGGCTGGACTCGCTTTTCTGCTGGAAATCTTCCCATCGCCTCACCTAATCCACCTCCCAACACCTTAGTGTCCTACTTCGCCTCTTACCTTCCTTGACTCCATCCTCACTGCTACCCTTCCCCTCACATCACCTCCTACTCAGAACTGCTTCCCAGGACCCGTAGGCTAGACCCCCAGTCCTCCAACTGCTCTGAGACCCTGTCTCACGTCTGCCTGCCTCTTGCAGATGCTCTGGCCTTCGCTGGGCCCTCAGAATGCACCAGTGCCTCCGGCTGCAGGGCCCTCCCTGTCCTCAGCCTCGCCCTCATTTGGCCAGCTCCTGGGAAACCAGTCCTCAGGTTAGCCTGACTCCTCTGACCCCGGCCAGCTCTCCATGGTGCACCATCTCAGCTGCAGGCACCGGGGCCCGTTGCCAGCATCCAGCTGTGACGAACGGTTTGTGTAGCTCCTCAGGGCCCATCGCCCTGTGTCTGCAGAGCCTGGTTCCGCTGTTGCCCAGCACTAGCAGACCTGACTCCTAGCAGGCCTTCCACGAAAGCTAGTAAATACATGAAACGTGGTCAGCTGTAGTTACTGGTTGTGTTGCCTGGAGGTGGAGGAGTGTCTCAGGTTAGGCTGCAGGTGTATGCGTTAGGGGAGTTCCTGACCCTGTCAGCGTATCCTAATCTTGGATTCAGGCCAGAAGAAAACCTCATGTTCCAAAATGTTCCATGCCCTTCCTCTTTTAAACAGATCTTCAGTTTATTATTGAACATGGCAGATTTTCTCAGTGGAGTTTGCGCTGAATTACCACCAATATTTGGGTCTGCTCTGGAGTGTCATTGTCACAGTATCACTCCTACAATCATTAGTGTCACATGGCATGTCCAAGTACTGACAGCTCTCCTGTATCATAATTCCCAAGATTTTGAACATGTACTGCAGGAGTAGAGCCTGCTGGTTTCAAATGTGGCCACATGGACGGCAGCCACTGTACAGAGAAATCTTGGAATAAGAGCTCCACCCCTGCTCCTAGTCGCAGCAATGGGCAGTGCCCCCGCAAGGCCTGGCTGAAACACTATGTGCACATGATCCTCATCAGAGCCTTAGGAGGACCATAACCAGACCATCCTGCTGTACATGTGAGGAAACGGGGCCCAGAGAGGCTGAGTGTTGGGGAGCACTGCTTCCCCACACCCCACATTCCCTCCTCATGGAAGGAGCCAGACCTGAGGAGGCAGAGCGGACCCCCTCTCCTCTTTTTCTCCTGGAGATTGGGCCATGTGCAGGGTGCAGGTCCTGTGTCCTCAGACATCAGGCCCTCTCGGGCTGTACCCGGGGAAGCCAGCCTGGACCAGCCTTGCCAGGATGGGCAGATGAGTCTGTACGATGCAGGCATTCCAGCCTCAGGCCCCTCCCAGTGGTGGAGCAGAGATACTGTCCTCACCTGCCTTGCTCTTCTCCATCTGTTTGGAACCTGAAGTGAGAAAAGAGGGGCCATGTATCAGGTCACTCAGGGTCCCCAGCAATAGGTACCTTGTCCAAAGTCCTCCTCCTCCTGCCCCTCATGCTCCTCCTCCTTCTGCTGCTGCTGCTCCTCCTCCTCCTGTTCCTCCTCCTCCATCCGCTCCCCCTCCTCCTCCACTTGATCCCCCTTGCCCTGCTGCTCCTCCTCCACCTGCTCCTCCTCCTTCTGCTCCTCCTCCTCCTGCTCCTTCTCTACCTGCTCCTCCTCCTCCTCCTGCTCCTCCTCCACCTGCTTCTCCTCCTTCTGCTCCTCCTCCTCCTGCTCCTTCTCTACCTGCTCCTCCTCCTCCTCCTGCTCCTCCTCCTGCTCCTCCTCCACCTGCTCCTCCTCTTTCTGCTACTCCTCCTCCTGCTGCTGCTGCTGCTCCTCCTCCTGCTGCTCCTCCTCTTTCTGCTGCTCCTCCTCCTCCACTTGGTCACTCTTATCCTCCTGCTCCTTTTCTTATCCTTCTGCTACTCCTTCACCTCCTCCTGTTCTTAAAACAAAGACAGATTATAGCACACCCCCATCCACATGAATGCGAATGACCATTGGCGGGTGTGTCCCCTGCATCTCTGAGGGTGGCGTCTGCTGGTCTCCA